CCGAGTCACATCCTTTGAAATTCAGTCTAATTTCATTTTAATTAGATCTAATGTGTATATATAATACACTTCAAGTGTCAACTTTAGAATTTTCGTTTCATTATTTAGACGGTAATTATAAACATTTCGTTAATTGAATTTTCAAAACAATTTTAGTTTAAATTAGAAAAATATAAAGAACATTAAGTTAAAATTTTTTTTTTTTTTTGACATTAATTATAAATTTAATTGATTGCATTATTTAAATAGAGATAGAGAGATAGTAATATAGGAGATGAAGTGAAAGAGAAATATATAATATGTGGATAGACTGATTCGGGTCAAACGGAATGTTCGATTTGAAACCGAGGAAATGGTTCGACGCGATTGGTGAAAGCAGGCAATATTGGTTCATGGTAAATACAGTTTGTTTTCCATTCCGGTTCGGCAGCCCCGTCGGAAAGTCCGTTTCAGGGATATTTCCGGACTGAGGGAGATAGAAAGGACGGTTCTTACCGCAGAGTCTCCGGGTCGCCAAACCATTTTCCCTCCCCCCTTACTCCCCTCTTTTCCACACCCCCTCCCCCTTTCTCTATCTCATATAGTCGACATCTGTCGTCGAGGGACGTAGAACATCGCGCCAAAACTTCTTGGTTAGTCTCCTCACAACCGATGAGTAGAGCGATAATCTGAGGTCAACCGCACCTCTCACAGCTCGAGAATTAATTATTTTATCAACAAAATAAATCAGTTGAATTAATTAAGTCATTTCAATGGAAATTAAATAAATCAATGAATTTTTTATATAATAATTAATATATTTATTATTAATTCATTAGGTATTTATTATTAATTAATTATTTATTATAATTATTCAATTATAATTAAATAAAAAAAAATATTTTTTATTTTTAGAGTTTAGAGCATAAAAAAAAATTATTTGAATGCATCGAAATGCTTACGAGGAGATATTTAATTACTTTTTATTTTCAATTTTTTTTTGATCACATTCATTCACTCTATACTCAATTTTCCTTGAAATTTAAAAAAAAAAAAAAAAAATTCTGAAAAAAGAACTAGGTAGATACAAATATTATGTCAGTGCACAATTTGGACTATTCATTCGAGATACGTTTTTTTTTTTTTTTTTTTTTATTTTGTTTTCAGGTAATATGAGAAAATATCGAATATTTCGTTATTTGTGCTTCTATATTCACGATGTGACAAGCGAAAATATTTTTCGGATTTTTTGTCTTTTCGGGAGTGTAATTTTTTTTTTACCGCCTCTTTAAACCGAAACTTTTATGTATATGGCACAGAAATTTATGTTACATTGTTTTTTTTTCCCAGAAAGGTAAACATTCCTGTGAAAATTTGCAACATTCTTTTTTACTCCGAAAAGTTATTACAATAAAAGAAAATTAAATTTACAATTTTGTTTACTGTAAAAATTTTGTAATTAAATCAATTATTTAATATGATATTTGCAAGTTGAAAATAAATTATAGAAGAAAATTAAATTTGTTGCTCCAGAGATTACATTGAATTTATAATTAGAGAATATATTGTTTTAAAGAGAAGAGCTTGCAATTTTTTTTTTTTTTTTTTGAAAAGTTAATTTTTTGTGTAGTACAAAAAATGTTTGTTAAATCTGACAATATGAAAATTATTGGGATATAGTTTTATTATCGGTATTTAAATGATGATTAAAATCTTTACGCTCGCTGTATTAATCCGTAACAGACGAAGCCACACATCAGTTCGAAAGCCCCATAAGCATCACTATGCTACGTTACACCCTTTTGTCTGTATATATATATATATATATATATATATATATATATATATATTCACAATGTACAGAGTCACATATATAGACACACTGATGCACTGGACGAGCTTTTGCGAATAGCAAAGGATTACGATATTGTACAGTTGAGATACGATACCTCGACGTTTAGGCGCCTTATATTCCTACCCTCATTCTCTGAATTTCAGTTATGTATTTCTCCATTGCTATAACAATATTTTGCAAAACATCGTTTCATAAAATTTCCTCTTAACGATGAGTCCATCTCCTTTAACCTCGACGTTTATTTCCTTAGAATATAACACTAAATTATATTAGACAAATTTGAAATTGTTCTTAGCAATTGTGTTCAATTGAACAATAAGTGATAATTTAAGAAACATAAAATAATTTTATTTTATTTTTAAATAATTTTTTCCATTTTTCCGTAATTGAAAATTTATTTTACAATTTTTTTTTCCACCAGACAGAATAATCAGTAACAGATTAAAAAAAAAAAATGTTTTTCATTTCTGTTGTTAACTCTTATTTATTTTTTTTTTATCAATAATTCAAGAATACATAAAACACAAAGGAATAAAATCCTTTTTAATTAAAACAAATTTAATCATCTTGTGTAAAAACAATCTTTTATTCTTTACTAAGTGAAACAATTTTATTCTCTCAAATATGAGAAAAAAAAAATTTTCTTTTTACAGAATTTTTCTTAGTTACGATTTTTAAAAAAAAATTGAGGTTTATAAAATAAACTAAAAGAAATAAAACAAAAGAAACAGAAAAAGAAACAAAAACTAGTATTTTTAATTCGCTACTGTGTTGAAAAAAAAATGATTTACTTGAATGTGAGAGTTGAAAATGTATTGTGTAAATTTTATAGAAGACTTGAGTTTTAATGTACTACATCACTTTCAGTATACACACACACGAAAAGGCAGAAAATTTCTCTTTTAAAATGACTGACATCATGAATAAGAAAAACATTATAGCCGCGTATATATATATATGTTCAGCGTTAAAGGCTTTCCGCATTGTTCACACTGTAACGATTACAACGAAGAAAACACTCTTTTTCGCTTTATTGCGATTCTCTTCGCCCTCCTCGTCCATCCATTAAACTTGACGACAGAAAATGATAAAAGTAGAGTGCTAAACGCCAATGAACCTTGTTGACGATAGTATTTTTTTGAATTATTCATTTACGCATTTTACCCATAAAATTCGACGTAAACGGTTTTTTTTTTTAAATATATAGTTCAATAAAAATTAAAATTCAATCATTTATTTTCAATTAATTAATTTTTATTCTAATTACACGGAAAAAAAATTTACCTGGAACAGCGAAACGTTTCGTTATAGTATCAAAAAGTTTTACTTGTTTCAGTTAAATTTTTCACTATTCTAGTGAAACCTTTCGATGTTTCGAGTAATTTTTTTTTTCATGTAGAATATAATAATTGAATTTTTTTTTTCAAATTTGCATTTTTTGCTTGAAAAATTTAACTTCAGTAGTATTAACACTTATTAATACATTGTTAATACAAAAATTCTTTAGGATAGTAAAGTGACTTAACGTTTATTTTCAATTGTTAATAATTTCTCATTGTTACTGAAAAAGGAAATAATTACAAATTAATGTATATTTTAAGTAGCGTAAGTATATATATTTAGTCATACATGTAAATTAACGATAAAAATTAATCGTACTTTTAATGTTATAAGGGACGATAAAAAATTTTATTTGTAAATAATAATATATATCCTTATATTTGTGAGATAAGATCGTTAGTGTCTGACCAAATGTACATTTATACTACTTAAACTTATTTTTTTAAATCCAATTTATTTTCACTATTATAGTTTCTAAATTTTATTTTTTGATCGAAAACAATGTAAAATAGTAGTTTAAGTAAAAAAAATTTTGTCTGACTATTTATATATTTATACTACTTAACTTATTATCAATTTGAAAATATTTTTTTCCACCGAATTAATATAAAATTATTCATAAAACATAATTCTCAATTTTTTTTCCATAAATCGTTATAGATTGCAGCAAAAAGTTTTGTCTGACTAAAAGCGTTTATACTACTTAAATTTTATATTTAAAAAAAAAATTCTAGTAAAATATCGAATTAGGAAAAATGAAATATATTTTTTATATTCTATTCCTACTTATAAAAATAGAAATTTTCATCGTGTACGTCTGATCGAATATCTCTTTGACTACTTAAAAATCGAATTTTTCTTTAAGAAAAGAAATGGGTAAATAATTATTTTAATATTATTGATGGAGATTAGTAACTTTTCTCGCACTTATTTCAGTTTCACACACATATATATATATGATTAAATATCATTGAAAAAAAGTATAAACTCGCATATTGTATAAATATTTTGAAAATATCGTTGAAAAATGCATCGGTGTTTGTTGATCTTTGAGAACGGTTGATCCAGTGATGTTTCTATGCATTTCCTCTGTCGGGCGCCACTTTTTCCGCGTTTTTGTTTTTTTTTTAACCCCTCACCCATCCCTCCTTACACATGGGGATTTTTCCGGTCGGAAGTGCACGGTTTCAACGTCGATAAGGAGAAAGGGAAAGAGTGGGGGGAGGGAGTAAAGGGGATTTGAAAGAAATCGAAGAAGTTCCCATCTACGCTCGGTCGCTTGACGCGGGAACTTTTCCAACTTCTTCTCGGGACACCCCAAAAAACTTTTTTTCCTTTTTTTTATTCTCCTTTTCGCGTGTTTTGTTTGTTTTTGTTTTTCTGTTTTTTTTTTTGCTACTTCTATTTGATAGGCCACGAGACTATATGAGAAGCTTTGAAGGAGAAAGTCACCCGAAAAGAGAGGTTTCCCATTGGAATAGTTTGCTCCTTCTCTCCCTTTCTCTTCCCCTCTCTTTTTCTCTCTCTCTCTCTATCTCTCTCTCCTTCTCTCTTTCTCTGGATTACAGTATCGCCTTCAACTTTTGAATTATTCAGTACCAACAAAACTTTTCAAACGCATCGTTACTCTCCCATAAACCCTGCCCCTCACCTCGTTCTCCTCTTTGGCTTCCTTGTATACCACCTTGAATCACCTTTATCAACCCTTTTGAATGTGAACCATACAGTTGTTGAGTTTAGCTTGAAAACTATTTTACTTTCGACCGATATCGGTTCTCTCTCTCACTCTGCATTCCTATTAATGAGAACTAACTTCTTGTTTCAGGATCGGCTCTGATGAGGATCGTCGAGGTGTACAAGGAAATTCAGGAGCAGGAGATGAATATCGTAAGTATCAAGTTGGAAAATTCAATTTTAGACCGCATACTTTCAGTCGTGGTACATTTTACTAAAATTTTCGTTATACTTACAATGAAATTACTGGGAAAAAAAAAATTAATTTTATTCAATTTATTTTGAGAGAAAATTTAGGTTTATTTGAAAAATATCGATAGAGATAACACAAGCCTCATCACTCCAAAAAGAAGTATTTTATTTTCAGATGTTTTGGTAGCGTTTTCAAGACATCAACACGAAAAAGTTTGTTGTGTTAGCGAACTGTTTGCTGTCACATCAAATTACGTTAGCTAATATAGGGACAGCGAACAAATTTGCTGTGTTGTCTAAAAAGTTTGCTGTGACAGTAATTTTTTTGAAAATTAATACTTATATTGTTTATCGCAGCAAACTTTTTCATTGTCATAGCAATAAATTTAGCTGTGGCTACCATAACATCTTAAAATAAGATACTTCTTTTTGCAGTTATGACTGTTACAAAAAAAGGGTAATTCTTACAGATTTTTTTAATAAAGAATTCGAAAAAAAAACCTCTTCCTTTTTTGTAACAAACATAATTGAAATTTTGCAGTCCTGTGTAATTTGTTTCAGTAGTAAAGGGCAAGTTTCAGTCAGACGTAGTGTTATTATTATTTACGTAATTTTTTTTATCAGTAGGGCAAGACAATTTTAATCAGACTGAATATTTTATAATTATTTATTATTATTAAAAGGGATTTTCGGTCAGGCAGAATTTTTTTTAATACTCATCCATGAATCAGTAGTATAGACATTATTTAGTCAGACAGAATCATAAATTCTGTATTTACAGTAAAAAAAAATCTGTTTTAGTAGAATAAAACGTTTTATACTCGTTTTATAATTTTACCAAGAAGTAGTAAAGTCCACTTTTAGTCAGACATACAGTTTGTAATTTGCGTAATTTTGTCATGAGTAGGAAAAGACAATTTTGGTCAGACAAAACATTTTATAACTATTTATTAGTAGTAAAAGTGTTTTTCAATCAAGCAGAATTGTTTTTAAGAATTTTAATTTAGGAATCAGTAGTATAGACACGATTTAGTCAGACAGAATCGTAAATTCGGTATTCAGAGTAAAAGAAAACAAGTTTTATCAAGACAAAATGTTTTATACTTGTTTGTAATTTGACCAGGAAGTAGTAAAGATCACTTTCAGTCAGACATACAGTTTATAATTTGCGATATTTTTATATTAGTAGGAAAAGATAATTTATGTCAGACAGAGTGTTTTATAATTATTAAGTAGTAGTAAAAGGAGTTTTCAGTCAGGCAGAATTGATTATAATACTTATAATTCAGAAATAAGTAGTATAGAAACGATTTAGTCATACAAAATTGTAAATTTGGTATCCACAGTAAAAAAACAGTTTTAGTACACGGAAAAAAAATGTTTATCTACAACAGCGATATGTTTTTCTAGAATAGCAAAAAATTTCGCTGTTTTAGTGAAACATTTCGCTGTTTTACTAAAACATATCGCTATTTCAGGAGAAAATTTTTTTCCATGTACGACAAAACATTTTATACACATTTGTATTTTTAGTAGGTAGTAGAAAATACTAGTTTCCGTCAGACGCAGTATTTATTTTATAATTTGTATAATTTTCTCATTAGTAGTAAAATTGAGCTTTAGTCAGACAAAACTATTCTAATTTTTTTAATTCTCTATCTTTTATAATTCTCTCTTTAATTGTAAAAGTACAAATATAAAAAAAAATCAAAATATTCATCTTCTTGATAAATAATTTTAAAATAGAAAAAAATAATTCTCCCATTTTTTTACATTACACATAATTAAATTGTGATATTGCAAGTTGTTTTGTGGTTCTTTGAAAAGTCTCTGGGACATTTTTAGTGGCGGACACCCACAGCATGAGTTTCGTGTTACTGCGCCTTGGGCTCGATATAGGAAGACTTGTGCACTTCAATTATTTAAATAAACCTCCCGCCTCCTCCCTCCCCCCTTGCCAACGCAATTAAAAGACCGGAGATTTATGTTGGGAAAGGAGAGAACGCGTGAAAACCGAGACGAAACGAGAGAACGAGATTTGGTTTTACTTGGGAAAAGGGTCCTTTCCCTCTCCTTTTTTTTCCCAGTTGCCTTGGTAGAATATTAATTGGAAAGTTAAAAGAGTTTTGGCCACTTAACGCTTTTGCCATCACATTTCACGAAGTCACTACGAAATTTTCCAGCTTTTACGGTTAACATTCCCTCCCCTGCGTCTAATCAAACTTTACCATAATTTCATTATAGATGAGAAAAGTATATATATATATATATAGCTTTCTTCGAATATTGAATTGAATTTTGAAATTCTTGTATTTTATTTTCAAAATAAAATTTTTAATTAATTTTTTTTATGTATTTCATATACTTATATTGAATATATGATATAATAAAGTAAAGTTAATTATAGGAAAATGATGTCGTATAAAATTTTAAGAGACAATAAAATACGAAGGCTAAATGTTAAGTTAAATCATTTGTTTATTGAACTAATTAAGCAATGTAATGGAGCTATGTTAATGAATTGGTTCCTCGTTCTTTATGAGTTTCATTTAATCTCGGATTATATATGTGATATTATATCTATATATATATATTTATCAAATGAGCTCCGTTTTTATTACTAAAACAATTTTTGCACGTTAATAATCATTTATTGTCACAATGGGACGTATAAATATATATATAAATTTTTTTTATCGAGGATCGAATGAATGTGAAGTGAAATATTAAAATATTTATGAGTCGCAGAAGGTAAATAATATTACCGAGATAAAATTGCCCTCGAGGTATATTTATTTGGCAAAAAAAAATAAACTTTTATTCCTCGACCATTTTTTTTTTTTTTTTTTTTTTGTTCTTCGAATGTAAATAAAAATGAGTGGAAAAAATTGTGCTCATTAGTATCGTAATTAACAGATTTTGCAATATTTAATAAAAGCAAAGTTATGAAAAAAAGAGATTGGAGAAAAAATAAATTAAAGGGAAAAATGCGCATAATGGAAAAAATAGCGGAGGAAAAATCATGTTTATTGCTCTTATAATAAATATGATTTCAGTTTGATAAAATTAAATAAAAGATTTTTTTTAAATGAAAATAATTTTTTTTTGAATAAAGCATAATTTGTTTGAAACAAATAAATTTTTTTTGTATCAAAAAAAAAAAAAAAAATTGTCAAAGAAATCTTTTTTTTTGGGTATATTCTATGAACTATAAGAAAAATTGTTGAAAATGAACAAAGAATATTTTAATAGAAAAAAAAAATTCCCATCTTTAGTTTCGTTATCTCGTGTATATCGTCGTCACATTTCATGAAACTTGGTTTCATTTTTCTCGTAATAGATTCTCATTTTCCGCATTTTCACTGCAGTCTTGCCATAAGGAAATGCGAAATTGAATACGATTATGTGAATTCGATTCAACGATATAGAGTTTTTTGGCACATAAATAATCTAAAAAGTTTGTTCGGAGTTCCTTTAAACGTGGCGAGAGATGTCTCTTCGTTTTGGTATGATGGGAGGGGCAAATCGGTTTCAGTATATAAGACTGTCTCGTAACCTCTCTCTTTCTCTCTCTTTTTTTTCTGCAAGAAAATGGACGAAAAATGCACCTTTTAGCCTTTTCTTAGGGCCACGAAATGGGATAATAAATAATCGCGAGATAAGGAAAAATCGTGGGCATGCGTTTCTAGACGTCCAGACGCACTTTGCTGTCTCCATTCTCATATTCGTAATATGAATGACAGTATATGTGCGTATTTCGTTTTTTTTACTTCCATTCTCATTTCATTCTCCCTCAGACTTTTTCTTATAGTTTTTATTTCCTCGACTTACGACCCGGCTAAAATCTTTGCCAGGATTTTCCTCTTATATTAACTTATACTTTCATTTTTTTTTTATCATACATATTTCCAAGTTTTTCATTGTGAAAAAATAAACTTTGTTTTTTTAATTAAAATTACTAATTTGAAAGAAATAAAAATTTTGTTTATTAAAATTAGTTTTTAATTTTTTGTTTTTTTTTTATATTATTAGAACTTATTTTTTCTATATAAATAAATATAATTCTATCTGTGTAATTCAAGGAAGCTTTGTAGAAAATATAAAAGTTAAGTAATTATGAGGACTAATTCTTTGGAGTCATATTATACTTAAAAACTCGTATTATTTTATCTTCATTACTAGGGTGAAAATAGTAAAGTCGGAGTATCAGTGCCAAACTTAATCTCACGAAGCAATGTAAGTTGCTCGTAAAACAAAGAATCTTATATAGAATTTTGTTTTTCTATCAATTGAATTGCAGTCGACGATAAAAATTGGAAGTACGCCAAATTAGCTGAAAGACATTTCAAGGTCGACGAGACACTCTTATTTTTCATATGGCGTCTCTTTATTTCACTTCATTTCTTTAAAAAAAAATTAAAATTTTTTTTTTTCAAATTGGCTACAGTTACTTTTATTATATTTCGTCACAAGTTTCTTTAAATATATATTGAATTTCCATGGAAAATCCATCAAATTCAAATAGCATCGTACTTATTTAGAATTGAGCACAGAAAATTAGCAAAGAGAAACTTTGCAACTGTCTTTAATGGGCTCGTTATGTAGTTAGAACGCACTCAAAATTAAGAGTCTTAACTCTAAAGGCCTTTAAAAGTTCGTCTATTCGGTTTAAAAGCGTTCAAACTCAATTTAAGGGACAATTTTTTTTTTTTTTTTTTTTTTGGTTTTTATTCTTTTATTTATATAATTAGAGTCTGGGAATTATCAAGGACTTAGATTGTTTTATTACAAAGCACTTTTTTTTATTTTATATCCGTAACTTTTATATTAGTAATTTAAAATATAGATTTTACAATTAAAACTATATTTTCTAGATACAGAGAAATATTTTGTATTTGCTTCCGAATCTAATAAATTTTTATTTGTTTAAAAAAAAATTGTATTTAGCATAATAATAAAAT